GCAGCAGAGAAGCAGTTCATTCCCGTTCCCAGGGTGCTCATGTGCAGGGGAGGATGGTTCTCCCTGCACCAACTTTTATTTCAGGTGAACCTTTCAAGAGGATCAAAGAATTCTGATTTTTTGGTAAGGGATCTGTAATTTGCACTGCCTGTAATTCATCAAAAGAATCAAAATGGGTTTGCAGAAGACAGCAGACCAAGGGTCTATTCCCCAGTTTTGCCACTAATGTGATTCACTGTCTTGGGAGTAAACTCAAGGCTCATAACTCCCATGAGGTAGGGCCACAGAGTGTATTCAAATATTTCAGGTCTGTGAAAACAAAACATGTGGCTATCTTAAAACCACATCTACAAAAGGCAGCCAAACATCTGTCATTGTCTTCAAGCAGTCCCTGGACTGGTAGAATTTGAATTTAATTAGAGATGGAGGAGAAAAAGGAGGTGGTTTTCTTTCCACTTCTTCCCCATGTCAGGACATATACCTCTCTTGGAAATAAAGTGAAGTCAAGGCACAGATTGCTCCAGGTCCACACGTGAAGAATTCCTTAAGCAATGATTTCTGAGTAGCCAGCTCCTCCTGTCAGGAGCCAGAAAGGACAAGCTCTTTGGGTAATCCAATTAGACACCTCTCCCCAGTGATACACTCAGCAAGCTCAGGTCAGCCAGGAGCCGTCACCTGGCTCATGTGCCTCTTGCCATGGCTCTGTCCTCCATGTACTCACTTGGCCCAGGTCCTGCGGGTGGAAGGTGATGATAGCCATGGTGTGACCATAGCTGCTGGTGCGCACCACGAGCTCCCGCCAGTGGCCACCTTTGTGGAAGAGGAGGCAGGAGTCCAGGGGGGAGCTGCGGATGAAGTCCTCATAGCACTGAGCAGAGGGGAAATGGCACTTGTAATAGAGTGAAGACAAATGCCCTGGTCTTAGCATAACTCTGTGCACCCCAAACGTGTGGCCGTTCCACCAGTATCATCTGACTTGTACTGTTTGATTTCAACGCACTCAGTGAAAGCTCTTTCCAAGTTCTTGGAACTTGATTTCAATTTGTGGTTCTTACGTACTTTAATAGATTGACACAAATTAATTGTCACTTGATTAACTTCAGTCTTTGGGATAGTTTAGAAGCTGCAACATTAACATGCAGGCTTTTTTATCCATTAATCACAGTCAGGCCTGAAACTCCCCAAAACATGAAACTGGACTTGAAAACACAGGGTAACTAAAATGACAATGTTCTCCCATATAAAAGTTATAGCAGTCCTTCTATTTCACAGTCCAGGAACAGACATGACTCATTTATTTACCTGGGCTACTTGCTTGTGTTTTAGGGGTATGTTCTCCATGTGGTTGCCTTTCACACAGACAATATTTCTTGCTGGAGAGAGACAGAGAGATATTTAGTTGTTTTGTTTCAGGGCACATAAAGCACTGCCTCAGACATCCCAAATGCTCCAACGTTGCTCTGCTGCCTAGGGACACACACACATCCCCCCATGCTCTCCCTGCTCAGCACAGGCTCCTGGAACACGGCAAAAACATGGGAACAGCATAACTGAGAATAACAACCCTAAATCCTGGAGGGGCTGCTACCACAGCTGTCATCCTTACTGCTCTATTTAGCACATTAAAAGCTGGTGCTTCTTAAGAAGCTAATGAACTGAGGTTTTCCTTTGTTTCCTTGGACTTGGTGGTGTTTCTGTTGGCATTGCCAGGACTCAGGCTTCTAACTCAGATGGGGGCTGTCACAGCAAAGCCTTGCCTTAACCCACACCAGCAGTTTTCTACCCAGCTCCTTGTCCTGCACTGACCTTTGCCAGTTCCCACATAGAGCCCCACGGTTTTGGGGTTCCCATCTGGTCCTCGGTTCACAGAGAAAGTAGATTTGTTTCGGTAGCCATTAATGACAGGCTGGGAGAGGAAAGAAGGAACAGTAAAGCGTTGGATTAAAAGAAAAAGTAATGGAGGAAAGGCAAACCCCAGCCTGGGTGTTCTGTTGGCGACACGGGAAGATCCACATGAATGTGCAAAATGCAGAAACTGAGTTTGTGCACGAGACCCCCAGTACTTCCCCTTGGGAAGGAGGAATTGCTCTATGGGACAGAATGGTAACAGCTTTATCAGGGAAGGCTTGGGCACAAAAAAGAGTTCAAAATCACCAGGCTTGTTCACCCTCCAGCAGTCACAGGCTGCAAAGCAGAAGCTAGCAGGACTGCCACAGACACATTACCTGCAATCAAGTAATCCCCACCATGAGACACTCTGGGATCTGAGCGAGAGACTGTTAGTGGGTCAGAGGGAACAGCATTCCCTTGGGACACTCACCGACGGGACTATAGGCTGGAGAGGACAGCAGAGTCCACCAGGTTGCCGTGTGTCTGTGCCCAGCTTCTCAAGACAAGATGCCAGCATCTGCAAAATCTTCCTCTGGCTTTCATACTTCACCTGCAGAGGAGTCCTAAGCCAGAAACACTCTCACAGGACCACACAGCAGTGGGCAGCCCATCACCCACCTCTGGGAAGGCCAACAGGAGGGAACACTGCAAGTAGGACACAGCCCCAGAGGAGCTCTGCCTTTCCTATCACTGCAGCTGCTTGGAGTAACAGAGAGAGAGAAATCCTGTGTCTGTGGTCCCAAACCACTGGGACCACAGACACTGGAGCGCTTGGTCCAGCCTGAAGCCCCAGTGAACCAGCTGGGCAGGATCACTGTGTGAGTGCCCATCTTCTGTGCTGTTGGTGACCACATACACCCCCCCACAGGGGACCTCACAGTTCTAGCCTTGAACATATTTGATTCATTTAATTTAATTCATTCCAATTAAAAAAAATTAGAATTCATTGTAATTTAATTAAAAAATATAATTTTAATTTCATTTTATTCATTCCACATTTAATTAATGAAGAACTAAAGCACCAGTAAACGGGGTCTGAAGAGTTTACATCCATTACGCAGTAAGATGCTCCATGCTGTTGCTCAGGAGGGATAATAGGGACAGCTGGGGCAACACAACGGAGAAAAGTCCACATACATCTTACCTGCAGCTGCTCATGATAGGGAAGTCTCCACAGTGGAGTCACTGCATTTGCTAACCTGGAAAGCACAACATCACAGTAGTGGTCAGAGCTACTCACTTCCTGATCCTTAGGGCATAACATCCTCACCAACTGCTTCATGCGCAGGACCCTTCTGGTACAGGCTCTGTACCAAAGCTGGCTGTGAACAATGAAACTCCCTTTTCATGGCACCTTCCCAGTGCAGAACACTTGTGGCTGGAAGGGTGACCCAGGAACAATGACCAGCTCTCCAGAGGACAGGTTGAGCCTTTGGCAGATTGACCAGTGATGCTCGGGTAACCCAGGTATCTTGCTGATCCCCCTTTAGAGGACAGGGCCAGGAACAGTGTTTCCCCTGCCCAGGGACCCAGAGAGACCCTGCCAAGCCGTGGGTGAGATCTGATTCCAGGATGGTAAAGCCATGAGAATGATTATTCAAATGGGGAAAAAAATCAAACCAAAGTGCAGGCAGAAAAGAGGAAAATGAAGAGATACATAGATAGATAGATAGATAGATAGATAATATATTGTAGCTTCAGATGGGGTCTGTTGCTTTCTCCCACTGAATCACAGGCTTTGCAAATCCGTTGCTGCTCTGAGGACAGCCCAAGTCCCATCTCCCTGGAGTTTTCTTCTAAAGGAGCAAGATGCTTCTTTCATCACTCGATACATCCATCCTGCAACATGGACCTGCTCACACTTCCAGCCACTACTGCTCTTTTCTAGTTGCTAATGCTTTACCAGATTAATTCCACCAGAGCAAAATGCACAGTTTGTGTGTGACAGGCAGTGAATTACAGGCTGCCCACTCTCACTGACCTGGCCACTCATACCCTGACAGTTCAGAGATAAACCTCAGAACCTGGAGCTGCTTGTACCTGAGGCAGGGCGAGCATGAGCAAAACACAGAAAACCTAATCTAAAAATAAACCAAAACCAAGCCCCAGCAGCGGAAGGGGTGAGGTGGATATGCTCCAAGCTGTAACTATCATCAGCTGCGGACACACGATGCCCATGGACAGCCTCACACCACAGCTGGATAAGATGCTGTTGTTGCTTACTGGGATGTTTGGAGCTGCTTCCGAAGCACCCAACTACTTTCAGGCACAGAACCGCAAATCAAATAGACTATTACTTTTTGCTTGCCAGTGTGACAACCGCTCTGCTCCTGACCCTTTCCTCTTGTGTTTTCTGTTGTTTCCATCCCCAGGCCAAGCTCCAGGGGAGCCAGCTGAGCCCTGGCTCTTCCATTCCTCCTGGAGAGCGCTGGCTATAGGTGAAACCCCCAACCCACTGCTCGAACCGCTTCAGGTGCTTTGGAAGCAAGCGTTTTGGTAAAGCCCTACCTCTCCTCCCAGGAGGGGCTGCGGCCCTCACCGCCCTTTCCCTTCTCCTTCCGCTGTGCTGCTGCCTTCTGTGCCGGCAAGCTGCGGTCCCAGCCAGGCAGGCTGCTCAGGAGAGCGCTCCAAAGGGGCCGGTGCCGTAGCCTCAGCGCACAGGACAGAGCCATGGCGGGGCGGAGAGCGGCTGCACCGCTGCCAGCAGCGCAGCGAGGCCACCGCCAGCCCGTCGGGCACATCGGCTTCACCCCTGGAGACGGGTGGAGGAAAGCACCGTGCGCCGCTCCGGGAAGTGAAACCACTCGGTTTAGAGGCACCCGCGGCCCGTCGGTGCTTGCACTTCACCCACTGCAGCCGGACGGTGCCTGCAGCGGGAGACGAGAGCGCTGCCTCCTCCCCCGGCCGCGATTACCGCCGGCGGCACCACCGGGCTACCGTGCCCCCTCAGACCGGGGCGGCACGGGCGGGGCCTGCCATATAGACTCGCCCCGAGTGGGCGGGGCGTCCTTGAGACTTGTCCAATAGCCACCCCTCTTCCCTGCCCCGCCGTCCGCGTGACCCTCGGAGCCGGCGCTGATTGGCCGGCGGCTACGCGAAGCGGAGTGAAGCGGCGAGCGTTCCGGGTGCGTCAGTTCCGGCTGGCGCGCGATGCTGTCGGTTGCAGGCAGCTCCGGTCCCGGCGGGGCGGGCGGCTCCGGGCCGGGCCTGGGCAGCGACGGCGATTTCCTGTCGCGATACCGGCTGGTGTCGGCCAAGCTGCGGCGGCGCTTCCTGCGCAAGCCGAACGTGGCGGAGGCGGCCGAGCAGTTCGCGGCGCTGGCGAGGGAACTGCGCGCCCAGGAGAGCCTGCCCTACGCGGCCTGGTGCCAGCTGGCCGTTGCGCGGTGCGCGCAGAGCCTGTTCCACGGCCCCGCCGAGGCGGCCGCCCTGGCCGAGGCCGCACGGCTCTTTCTGCGGCAGGAGCGCGACCTGCGGCAGCGCCTGGGGCTGCGCGGCGGCTTCGGCGAGCATGTCGCGGCGGCGCAGAGCTGCGGCGCGTTCGCCGCCCGCCTGCACTTGGAGCGGGGACAGCCGGCGCTGGCGGCCGGGCTGTGCCTGGAGCTGGCCGCGGCGCTGCGCGACACGGGACGGCCCGCGAGCGCCGCCGCCCCTCTGCAGCGGGCAGCCGACCTGCTGGCGGTGGCGCGGCTGCCTTTGGAGGCTCTGCGGTGCTTGGCCGACCGCGCCTCCTGCCTGCTGCTGGGTCGCGACTACGCCGGTGCGCTGGCGGCGCTGACTCGGGCGCAGGCGCTGGCAGCGGCCGGGCTGGGTGGTGGTGTCGGCGGCGGGGGAGCCCCCGGTGGTGCCTTCATGGACGTGCTGGCGCGTTGCGAGGTGTCGCGGGTGCTGCTGTTGCTGCTGCTGCAGCCGCCGCCCGCCAAGCTGCTGCCCGAGCACGCCCGGACGCTGGAGCAGTACTGCTGGGAGGCTCCCGAGAGCGGTGCGGGGCCCGGGACTGGTGGCGGCGCCGGGGCGGGCGGAGGGCTGCCGCCTGCAGCGAGCTACTTACCGTCCGAGCTCTTCCTGCTGCTGCAGTCGGCCGTGCTGGCGTGCCAGGAGAAGGACGCAGAGGCGCTGAAGGCCCTGCAGGCCGAGCTGTGGCCGCTGCTTAGCGCGGAGCAGAACCACCTCCTCCACCTGGTGTTGCAGGAGATGCTGAGCCCTGCCGGACAGGGGCTCTGAGCACCACCGTGGGCATGGATGGGCCTTTTGCAGAGCCACAGGGTCGGGCTTGGACTTACCTTTGAAGCCACAGTCTGTGTCAGTTTATCCTCTATTTTGTTATTTATTTTTAATACGAATTCTATAACAGAAACAAGTAATAATCGATGAGCAAATGTGTTCATCTTATGTTGTGTCATAGTAAACCACTCATTGTGCATACTGAAAATTGTCATGCTTTGAAAAAGTGTAATGCTAAAGCAGAACGGCAGAAACAGGCTGTTTCTTAAAGAACCGGCTGCAATTTGCACACAGGAAAACTTGCCAGGGCAGTATCACCTGGGGTAAGGGTGCTGGAGGGCTTGCACATCTGGAAATTGGAAGTTGCTGAAGTTGCTTTGAGAAAGGGCAGCACATAAAACTGTTTTTTGTTTCCCCCTGAAGATGAAATAGTGCAGCCAAAGAGAGCATTTAGCTCTCATGGTGGAGAAAAGGAGTTGGTCACTGACCTGCAAGCAGCTGCCTGAGGGCAGGTGCCTGTCGCAGTCTAGCTGCATCTTATATAGAACAGATGGGTTGGTTTCTGCACCATCTTGTACTCTCCCTCTGTATTACCTATTGAATCCCATTGCGACTGGCTCTGATGTCCCCACTGCTTCTGTTGAGCTTTACTCCTTGGTTTCTAATGTTATCCCTAATCCTCTTGCAGTGCAGCCAGTGGAGGGGGTGTCTGTGAAATATTCTTCCCCCATCTCCAGTGTTACAGCCTTCACATCTGGAACACTAAGGGGTTGGTTATGTGAGGAAATCAAATGACTAGGTAAAGAGAAGTCATGGATCAATGTGCATCACTGATAGATCACTAACATTTCTTCTGGCTATAATCCATCCTGGGCAGATGTTAACCTGTTACTGAGTAGTTCTATCATAAGAAAAAGATCATTTAAAAGAATGTGAAGTTAACCCTGGAGTCAGGAGGAGATTGGGCTGCCTGGCCTCGAGTAGATACTATTTGGGACTGTAACAGGTGCTCAGTCTGGGGTTAGAAATCTGTTGTGACTAGAGCTTGCAAGGAGATAAGAGTAAACTGAAGCAGGATTATGAGGGGGCTTTGGAGAACGGTGGGGATCCACTGGTCCAACGGCTTCAACCAGCACGAGCAGGAAGGCAAGTACACGGTATCCAGTCTGGAAACTCAGTAGGGATCCAAGTCCGCTCTCCCCAAAGCTGGACCCCACCCGGGAGGGTCCATCCGCTGTGTTAACGCCTCACTTCGCTGTAAAGCTTCAGGCGGGACAACAGGGCTCACCGCTCCCTTAAACGACTGCTGCCTGCGGAGCTCCGGAGCCCATCGCCGCTTCCCGATGGGACGGGACGGGACGGGACATCCGGTTCCCCCGGCCGCCGGTAGGTCGAGGCCTGGGCGCGCTCAGGGCTAGGCGGGACCGGCCGCGCGCGGGGCTTGTCGGGAAGGGGCGGCCTCCGCGGTCCCTGCGCGGCGGCGGCACCACGCGGTGCGGCCATGGCGGACGGGAACGGTGCGTGGCGGCGGGCCCGGCCCGGGGTGGGGGGGGGTCGGGGCTATGGGAGCGCTCCGGGGCCCCCTCCGGTGCCGGCGGGGATGCTCACCGTGTCGCTCCCACAGGTTCCAGCGTGACGAAGCGGCGGAAGAAGGAGAAGCGGGCGCTTGCCGATGAGGATGTAGCGGTGAGTGCGGGGCCGCCGGCTTAGAGGGGAGAAGGGAGAGAAGGTGACGGGGGGTTCCGCAGCTCGATCCGTGGGGCCTAAGGGCAGGGCCTGGGGGTCAGCCGTGCCTCACAGCGTGCCCGAGCTGGAGCATGGCCGGGGCCACGTGGAGGCAGCAATGGGAGCGCGGGCCTCCGCGGTTCCCCCTCTGACCTCGGTACCTTCATCCCCATCAGGACATCCAGCACACGGAGGAGTTCTTCATCAAGCCCGAGTCCCGCGTCGCCCAGCTGGACACGTCTCAGTGGCCCTTGCTGCTGAAGGTAGGGCTGGTCGTAGACAACCTCGTGGCCCTGGTCCTGCTGCATCTTTTGTCCTCTCAGTGCAGGCCCTGGAGAGGCACAGCTCCTTCTCTGTGCAACCCTACGGCTAGGGAACAGCTCTCTGTATGCAGAAATCGTGTTACAACGTTTGTCTTGCAGCATCATTTCCATGTCTGCTTTATAAGTTTTCCATCTCTCCTGTAAAGACCCAACCAGATTTCTTCTATTTATTTTGGTTGCCTGTGAGCTGTGTGTACTTATGAATTGCTTGTGCTGAGTTTCTGGGGCACACTGGATTTTTGCTCCATTGTAAAGGTTGGTATTCTGCTGCTTTCCCATAACTTTCAGTACAGGACTTATGTTTCTTTCTCTTCCCATAAAGTGTGGTTTCATTGTTGGGTCGTTTTCATTTTGGAAGAGCCTCTTACACTCAAATGTACAAATCAGACATTGTGTAACTGGGGAGATGTACTGGGGCAAAGCAACCCTGAAACTTAAGGTGAGCTCACAAACATTTGTAACTTTTGCTTTGATTTTTGTAGAACTTTGACAAGCTAAATGTGATGACAGCACACTACACACCTCTTTCTTTTGGTGCTAATCCCCTGAAGAGAGAGATTTCTGACTATGTGAGGTGAGTGCAGTAAAGGCTGGAGTGATTTATTTCTCTTTTGCAGTTAATATCTCCAACATATTTTCTGTTCTGGATCCTCCTTGTACCTTTCTGCTCACCTCAGTGCCTTGCTACTAACCACTAAGTGTCTAAATAGGAGCTGCTGATCACTTCTGATAATGCTTGCTTTGTTCTGGGGTTGTGGCTGGTCTGTGGATGCACGTTTAAACACTTGAGTTCTCTGGGGTCTTATGGCCTGCTAGGCTTTGAGACTGCTTGGAGTTTGTTTCTAATATTTGCCTTGGCTTAAGTGCAGAGTAGTGATGAGAAGTTTGGGGAAAAGAGAGTTCTTTGACCATGAAATATTCTCACTGCTGCATGCAGAGCAGCTCAACATGTGCTCACTGAGAGCAGTGTTGTGAGGCTCACAGTTCACTTGGCTGCAGAGAAATACATTTCTTTGCAGCCATAACAAATATCGTCAGCATTTTTATGCTCTTGATGTATTTGCCTCAGTGCTTAGTTCCTGTTCTCTGTCATCTTGCACTGTAGGTCTGGGTTTATTAACCTCGACAAACCTTCCAATCCATCTTCCCACGAGGTGGTTGCATGGATCCGACGCATCCTTCGAGTAGAGAAGACAGGACACAGTGGCACTCTGGATCCTAAGGTGACTGGGTGCCTCATTGTGTGCATTGAGAGGGCGACACGACTGGTCAAATCTCAGCAGAGTGCAGGTATGTTTATTGCCTGGGATCATTCAGTATAAATGGAGAGGTGTGGGGTTCTTTTGAAGACAAAATGGAGATTTCCAGTCTTTGAAAGGACAAGGACTATCCTTGGTCTTCAGTGCTTTGAGCCTAGGGTTTGCTTGTCCTTCATACTCCAAGCTAGGGAAGGTGCATCCATGCTGAATCAGGTTCTTTTCCTTGATTGCTTCTTTGAGGCTTGTGCAGTTTGAAGTCACTGAAAACATTTCTGGCAGACTGCTTTTGTGTGCTAACAGAACTTATGGCCTCTATGAGTCCAGTGAAATAAAATCAGTGAAGAATAAATGTAGCTCAGATTTATTTCATTGGAAGAATAGCCAGCTCCATACCAAACTGTGCAGACTTTGTAGGAGAGGTGGTTGTGAACCCTTCAGGGCTCTGGCTGTGAAGCAGGGAGGACCTTGAGGTCAACATTAAATGCAAGTGGCCACTCCTGACTGCTCTTGTCGTTTTTTCAGGCAAAGAGTATGTGGGAATTGTTCGGCTGCACAATGCAATTGAGAGTGAGGCTCAGCTTGCCAGGGTAAGTCTCAGCATGCTCTCAGCCATGCTGGCACTGCACGTGCAAAGTGTACAGATGAGAGGGTAGGAGCAGAGCTCAGGTGTGCTCTGTGTGTGAGGTGATGATGAAGTTTATCCATTCTCTGAGTGCAGTGGTGCTGCCCTCCTGCAGCACCCCGATTCCTGTTCTAGGGTCTGGGTGCTGTGCAGCCTCCAGAGACCCTCTGGTCTGCCAGTGTCCTACTGGGGGCTGTTGTGGTGTGTGGCTGGCTGCCTGCAGGAGTGAAGTGGTGCCGGCATGGTTGGAGCCCCTCTTTGGGGGGGGCTCTGTCCTCACTGAGATGAAGGATGATGTCTGATCACATACTGCCACCTGATGAAAAAGCCCAGCTGTGCTCACTGGGGTCGCATTTTGACCACATCTGTGGTTCACATTGGCTTTATTAAATACGACATCACCAAATTATGGTGAACCTTCTTGCTCATGGAAGTGGTCATAGTTGCTGGAGACCTCAAGGTGTTGGGGTACAGGTGTCAACGGTTACTTCTGCTTCTATCCTTAGGCAATAGAAACTTTGACAGGCGCGCTGTTTCAGCGACCACCCCTCATTGCTGCTGTCAAGCGACAACTGAGAGTCAGAACCATCTATGAGAGCAAGCTGGTGGAGTATGATCCTGAGAGAAGATTAGGTAAAACAGGGCTTTCCTGCCTTCTTCCTATTAAACTGATGGCTGATAAAATTTCCTGTGAAATGGGCTGCTTCCTATTGTTGGCAAATGTCTTAAGACCTAAATCCTCACCACCATCAAGCAGTAACTGCATCATGCATTACTTGGATGTGCTGAGAAGCAAATCCTCTGTGTTTCTTACTGCTGCATCCTTCATTGAAGAGCCAAATGATGTCAATTTAGATGGCATTAGCACTCAGTGCAAAGATGACCTTCATCTATCACCCCAGGCTGATGGCTTTGTGAAGGATTCAGTGTACAGCTTCTCTTGGAGTTTCTAGATGTGGTTCATTTCTGGATACGTCTTTAAATACTCTCTTGTCCTGCCCTCTGTTTCAGGTATCTTCTGGGTGAGCTGTGAAGCAGGCACATACATCCGAACACTCTGTGTTCACCTTGGATTGCTGCTTGGAGTAGGGGGCCAGATGCAGGAGCTCCGCAGAGTGCGCTCGGGCATCCTGGGAGAGAAGGTAGAGTGGTACCACTAACTATAACCAACCAGCTTGAACCTGTCAGAATTGTATGAGTTCCTTGGAACTGCATTAGTTTTACAGAGTTAGGAGAAGGTACTGGTGCATGGCAGCATGGGAGAGTATAG